CAAAGCAGCATGGCGTCAATTCAGGTCATAAGCTAGAACATCAAGATACAAACGTTAGCTGAAAGCTTCCCTGTGCTCTTTGCCTGCAGTATCCAAGTTCATCAGCTCTGCCCTCTGGGGAAGCAAGCGTGCATTAACCGTTCCCTCACAAGGCTCTGGATCCTCGCGGTCCCCTCACTTGGATGCTCTTCGGCCTTTTAGCGACCAGGAGCGATACTCATGCTCCTCATGAGAGGAATGGTGGAAGAGCAGGTTGAGGGAGGTGATCCTTCCCCTCTGCTCAGCACTCCTGACACTTCTGGAGTGCTGGGCCCATGTTCAGGGCTCTCCAGTACAAGACACACACAGACATAAGAAGTCCCTTAAGTTGATTAAGGGATTGGAGCATCCGACATGCATGCACACCGATATGCAGAGGCTATGAAGGCTGGAATGCTCAGCCTGGAGAAGGCTCAGGAGGGATCTTATCAATCTGTATTTATACACACAGATGGAAGTTGTAGAAAAAAATAAAAATAAATAATTGAGAGCAACCCTCGCCAGTAGTATCCAGTGATGGGACAAGAGTCAATGAGCACAAACTGAAATACAGGAAAATCCATGTAAGCGTAAGAAAAAATAATCTTTTCATGTAAGGGTAAATGAACACTCGAACACCGGAACGTCACCTGGAGAACTCTCCATGCTTAGGGATATTCAAAACTCAACTGAAGCTGCTCTAATTTTTGAGCAGAGGGGTTGGATTAGATGATGCACAGAGGTCCTTTCCATCCTCAACCATTCCATGATTCTCATGAGTTCTGAGTTCCTTGGTTAAAGTCAGTTTCTGCTCTTCAGACAATATCCATCTTGCAGATATTTCGGTTTCTTGCCACAGCACCCTTTCTCTGCTCAGTATTTTTAGCTCATTGTTTTGTTTTTTTGCCAGCTGAGAAACTGCAGTTTGTAATTTTACCTTCAGCTTCATATTTCTTCTTAAAAGTGAATACAATGTCCTGTTTATAATAATAAAATCACTAGTTGGCAGGATGACATCAAATGGAAAAAGAGAAAGCAACTGGAAAATTTAGAGCAAGCAATTTTGAGTGCCAAGTTTCACATTTGTAATAGTCCAGCGGAGGTCAACAGGCTCACTTATTATTAGGCAAATGGTAAAGAAATAGATATTCTCAAGTTCTTCCATGTTAGACTGTATAAACCATCCCTACTTGAACAGGCTGTAGTGCTATCCAAAAGGGTGATGTTATACATTTTCCACAGTAACACCAACAATAGGGCACACGGAAAAGGCAGAACTGCTTTGCAAAGAACGGCCTTTTTTCTCTCTCCAATATTTAGGTTTTTGTTTCCCACTATGATCGGACTTTCCTGGCTTTAGTTTCTTGTCCCAGTTAAGCAGTAAAGGAAACAAAAAGATATGAATGAAATTAGAAACATTTGGAACAAGTCTTAGAAATAGCTTTTGGGTTTCTTAGATTCCTGGCTACACCTCTTCGAATGGCTTCCTCCTCCAATCCCCCTCTCTGCTGCACCCACCTCCAAAATTTGCATTTCCTCCATCGCCCTGACCCTCTTCTAAGGTTCACTAGCCACATTTTGTCCCGCATCACTGAAACACCAAGGGCAAAGCAAACAAGGAAATGAAAATTGCATGTTGAAACTCTGGAGAAGACCAGAAAATGGCTGAAGCTCTGTTCCCATCAACGCTTTGTTTCTGACACTAATGCTGTAATGCTCCTCCAAAACCAGCAAGACAAACACTGCTCTCCTCAACCTACCTTCTCATTTTAATGAAGAAACACCAATTCCAGTTAACCTGAATAATACAATAAGAATTCTGGTCCTATCTGTATCATCATATTTAAAGTGAAGAAGGGAAGTTTCCTCAGCTTCACAATTCTAATATTTTATGAAACTTCCTTCTCTCATTTAAATTACAACAATCCCAGTACTTGCCTTGTGCTTTTCCTTAAAGGTCTTCAGTGCTTTTTACAAACAACTAGGGTAGAAGGGCACAGGAAATACACAGCTAATTTTCCAGACAGATAAACCAAGGTAGCTAAAGCAGATGTCCAAAGTAACTCTCTGCTCTGGTGCATAGTTTTAAATCAGCTAGAAGACTTCAAAGCTATCCACAAGGTTTAGATCTTTTCTGCCTTAAGAAATATTAAAATATTATGTAAACGCTCTTTGAGAGCCATTACTGGAGAAATGAAGGAAAGAAATGTCTTGGAAGCAATTCTGCACAGGCTATGTAGGTGAGATCACAGTTGCTATCCAAACAGAGCAGGCACGGCAAGAACACGCTTCCTGCAAAACTGAAAGACTTGCAGAAAGACCAAGGAACATATTTACAAGATGGCATGAACAAAACAGCTTTCCCTCATCTTCCCAGCCTCAGCAGACAAGCGAAACACATTGTCTCCTTTTTGTCTAAAACTATGTCCACAAATCCCTCTATTATAGAGAGACTAACTCTAGCAGATCACAGAAGTTATCTTTTAAGAAGGAAAGGGTCATTGCACATGGTGAGAAGAAACAAGAGAAGGTTATCTCTGAAGGAGGAAACACCAGAAAACCTAACATTTTGCTCAAGTTTCAGTTCCAAAGGCTTGCCAGTAACTCATGACCCAACAGAACTCCCAGTGCTGCTACACACCTGGAAAGGCTTTAGTATAGACAAGAGTATTTTAAGCCAAACTAATTTATGTTTACTCTAGTCAGGCAAGTAACATGCAAACTGTATCAGGATGAGCTATTTTGGAGTGTTAATGGGAAATTCAAATCCTTTATTTCACTGTCACTTATTTTATATTGTACTCTCACAAGATTTACTGTGCACTGCAGTAATCCCAACAGCCTGACAGGTCACCACGTACTAAGTGCAGGAAAGATGGGCACTTGCAGAGGCAGGTGCCACCGAGCACTGGTCAAGGAGGGCTCAACTCCTGTGTATGCCCAGACATCTCCCATCGGATGCCACCCCATGCCAGGGCACACACGCTATTTGTAGCACCCTGGCAGACCGCAAGGTACTGATTGCCAACGTGAAAGGCAGCATTTAATACAAAGGTGAGGTCAAGTCACCTTGTGACTGCACAGTCATCAGGAACAGTGTCAAGGTCTGACGGGTGAGACCAGAGGAGAAGGCAGCCAGGTGTCCAAGTGCGGGACTCTGCTCAGCAATGACTCATGCTACTTTTACTAAGGAAACTCATCTTTTTTCTAGGCAGACAAACCTCTCGCTGTGAGGAAACGACTAAGATTTGCTTGTAATTTGTTTTTCATAGCCAGAGAAGTCTCATGTTATCTTCATATGTGTTTCGACCACAGACTAGTCATCAGTGCGGCACTTGACATTAAAAGGATTAGGAAAATAAGCTCAAATAATTGTCTTGAAAACCTTGACTGTTAAATGTTTATATTTGAGAGGATCAAAAGGAAATCTACTTTGTAGCATGCACTATGGTCAGGAAGGGGCAGAAAAGGATTTAAATGACTTAACTGCAAAACTGTTATCACCTTGATAAGTCCCAGTGCAGTAATTCAGCAATAAAAAGAAGAAATGTATTTAAAGTTTGCTTCCAAAAATGATTGTCTAACTGGAAACAAGTCAAGTTCTTTATTTGCTTGAAAGAACTTGGGTCGAAGAAACAGAGAATGCTACTGAAATGTAGTCAAAAAAGTACAAATAAGCACTTTCCAGTGACTTCTGAACTGGAGACTTAAAATGAATATGTATTTTTTTTCCCTTTTAAGCTACTACAAGGCTACAGTCTGGATCTGATACCCGAGGGCTACCACTCACTGCTCAGACAGAAGTGCGACTCTTTCCGGAGTCGCTCCCCTGTACAGCAACTGCAGCCCTGTTAAGGGAAGCAGTTAGAAGGTTACAGGCTGCAGTGCAGAATTAGGCCCAAAGTAACCAACTGGCATCCAGACAGGGACAAAAACAGCTGCAGTTTACCCACATCCACCCAATTTGTTAACACTGTGTGAATAACACAGCGAAACGAAGAGGGGCTCACCACATACACATGCAAGTGCTAGTACCACTGCAAACAGGGGAAATCTGTCTTGGGGAATCAAACTGTTTTACCTCAGCAATATACAAAGAAGCATCATTACACTGAACTGTTGAATCTGTCCCCCACAACACAGTGAGATCTGCCAACGGAGACAGGATGCTCTAACCTAAGCAAGCGTGGGAGTGAAACACACCGGAGCATCTTAATAACCCATTTATTGCTTTGCTTTTTGCAGCTTCTTTTATTGCTAGGCAAGGTTTTAATTGAACTACTCTTTTGCCCTGAAGTCTTGTCTAGTGAAAAGGTAATCTTTAATATAATATTTCAAGGTTTAGCAAGTCCATTTCTTTTGAGTAGACTGGCAGAGCCAGAGTGTCCATCATCCAACAGACTGTGGAGTTCCTGGAAGCTGGTGGGAGGATCACAAAACTGCAGGGATGGGTAACATGAGGTAGGTGGACACGCAAAGGTGCCAGATTGCACGGAAATACTGGTTGCCAAATGCTAAGCTGATTGAGAGCTGTCGTGAGCTCCACACGATACCAGTTCTTCTGAATGGTGAAGAACATTGGACAGGCAAACATAGGTCAGGCTCTCTCTGTGCTTCAGTTTTAGAGCAACGATGTCCAGAATCATTTCATCTGCCAGGCATTCAAAAAATCTCTATAAAACTATCACTAAAATACGTAATACATTCCAGACAAAAACATAAAGTTTTCAGATTAGGAGCCAAACATCAAATTTTCAATTTTCAACAGTGTTGAAAGCCAATAGTCCAGAAAGCTTCTACTCCTCAAAAAAGACTTTTCCAAATAACTGAACTTTTGGTTTTGCAGGTGCTTTGGAAAGCAGTCTCTTTCCAAGCTAGCACAGGTAGCACATAGTAAGTCAGTGCCTTTTCACATTGTAATGAAAGTAAAACAAAACCCTGAACTAATTCACAAAGTGAAAGATCAGGCTTTTCTCTATTACCTTAAATCTCTTCTCTTGGCCAGTTCCTCCGATGAGATAACCCAGGGCAGGTTCTGGGGAAGACATTCCAGAACTTCAGAGGAAAAGTCAGAGAAATCCACACCATATTCTGTCAGGATCCCCTCTGTTTCCGGCTCAATCTCCCCTGCCTGACCAAGAGATTTGGCCATCTGCCTGCAGAAAGAAAGAAAGGGATGATGTTAAGTGTATAATTAGAACTATCCTGTTGTTATTGTCCCCTCCAGAGAGGCTGCTGAGTTTGTGAGCAAGCCCTCATATTCTTTCACCCATTCACTTCTCCCTTAGTTTTGGCAGAGGACTTGGCAGGAATTCAGGACATATCATGACTTGAGTCTGCTGGAGATGTAAAACACCAGCCAGACAGTACCCTGGGTGACTTCATGCATCTCATTTTAAGATGATGTTTTTTATTAATAGCTTTTTGTAGAGGAAGGAGAGTGTTCAATTACAGAAACAAAACAGCAAATATAGCAATGTCCAATAGGAACAATAAAAGCGTAACTCCCCACACAGGCTGTTCTCACTTTATAAACGGCTGGTTCCCGAACTCTTTCATGCAGTGAACCCATGCTACCAAAAAAGAAAGAGTTGAAATTCCCCTTTGTCTCCTTACCATTACAAAAACACAACTCATCTCCACTCATCTCCACTGAGCTGTGCATGTGCAGGTCCCACCAGACCTCAGGCAGTTCTGCAGAAGGCAGCTCATGGCACTGCTCTCTACCCCAGAGAACAGGGAGAGGGCTGCAGAACCCTAATGGCTTTTCTCACAAGTGGCACAAACGAGCACATGGGTTGTCTTTTCAACCATTTTCTAGACTCTTTCAGGGACCTGAACGCTCCCAGTAGTCTGTCCCTTCTCTCCTAAGGAGAAGCCTCTGGTCCATCCTCCAACTGCAGGGGAGCCAGCTACCTAGGAGCAAGTCTAGACAGGGGAAACATCGTGTCCCCACATACTGATCATCTTTGACGAAGTATCCGCACATGTGCAGATGAGACTGCTGCTCTGTCCTGCCCGGAGGAAGTTTCCATCTGCTCCAGCGCAAACCTCAGCGAGCGTTTGTCCAGGAGCGCTGGTGTCAGCGGAGGACTCAGTCCTGCACACACAAGAAATCCCTCCCTATCTGGTTACCAGTGCGAGATGAGAACCTGTGCCCCATGGTAGCTCTCCTGGCCCCCTTTCTTATTCCTTTTTTTTTTTTTTTTTTTTTGCTTTGCTCTTGTTTTCATACAAATATACATATTTATACACACACACAGAGCTATACACACTGCCATTAGGATGAATGGCACTTTACACAATAGAGATAACATTCCTGGCGCAAGGAAATTACAGCTGAATTTTAGGCAAATCCATCAAAATACGACGCAGAAGAGCTGGGTAATAACACAATGCAAATACAGCCACTCTAATAAGTGTTTTTCCACTGCATAAAATGCACAATCATTATATTGATCCTTCTGCTTTAATTCTAATGAGTGAGAACAGGCACTAATTACTTTCCTAAATCGGGGCCAAAATAGAGTACTTGTCATTTGGACAAGCGAGATGCTCTCAGTGCTTCAAATGCGCCATAAAGCCACAGAACAAGCCCCATGGCCGCCGCGCGAGCGAGCCCATCTCCTTTATGGGAGCGAGGCCGTCTCTCTGCGCAATGGGAAGGGCTGGGCAATAAACCTGTCACACTGGGTAATATGCTGAAAAGGATTGTGCACTTTGCGGCGCGGTAAATTGTAGAGTTCACATTGCCCGGCTTTAAAATAAAAATGAAAACAAGGATAAAAGATATTTCCCTCCATTGTTTCAATTTTATGTACAAACTGTATGGCAGAAATACGTGTACATTTGGCATCTAGGTATAATTCTCTGTTCTGCAGCTTGGTCCCAGGCTGATTCTTATTTTCATGTAAATAAACGAGACATCAGCTTTAGCTCCCTCACTCTCAGCAGCAGCAATAAACCATAGGAATTGCCATTTTGTTCCCAAAAGTTAGTGCAGGGTTGGGAGACTCGGTGAGGACGAGTCTACGGGTCTTCAGGACCACCAGTAGCTCTCTCACAAGGACCACTCTCAAGCCTGGGGCCCTGGGCTTGAACCTTACGCCTCTCACTAAACACTAAGGAAAAGGCATCTTGACTCAATTTTCATGGCCAGAAGGATGAATAGAGAAAAAAAATAGAATAAAAAGGAAGAGAAGCAACATGCTGCGCTACCAAAAATGAAAAGGCACAGCAAGGGTTGAACTTGCAGGTGCCCCTTCTCTTGGAAGGGCAGAGCAGGGAAGGGAAACACCAAGAGGGTGGCTGGGCACCTGCGCTACAAGGCATGGGCAGCACCTTTCACTGCCAGAAGGCTTTCCAGCTCGGTTTGGAAATTCATGTTTTCTTGATCCGTTTACCGAAATTAGATTATGAACCATAAGGGGTTTACCCAGAGGTTTGATATAGGACTAATGTTTTAATAGTAATTAACATTTGATTTACAGCATTCCAGGGAGCATTTCCCAAGTACCTTGAAATAAAAAAGCATGCAACGGACTTTAATTGGGGCCATGCTGCAGTCACACAGACATGATGACTTGCATCAGAGCAAAATCTGACAGGACAGCATGTGATCAAAGGTAACACATATAGGATCATAGATGGTCCCGGAGTGAGAGCCAGGCTGCAAATTGCTCATGGGCTTCTGCAGCCACTAACAGCAGCAAGAGTAACTCAGAGGTTTCTGCACAACAAGCAGCACGTGGTCCAGCAGCAGCCAGACATTTGCTCCCAGGGAGCCAGCACGTCTAGGACACCCCAGATTCTTTTTACGTTAAAATGTATTTAAAAAGTTATAATGGTTAGACAAACATTTATTTTCTATGATGCTGATAGAAGAGTATTAGAGTACCCTGCAGAGATCCCTTAATATCCTCGTACTGACATCAGACACAGCGGTAGTATCCAGGCATGGAAAGCCCTGGAAGGGAATGTGCTGCGATTAGGATTTTGGGAAGCGTGCACAGCGTAAGTGTTGTCCAAAGAGTATTTCTCCAAAGCAGGTGCAGCGGCCCTGGGAGCTGCAGCCTCACTGGGACTTGGTTTCCCATGAGTGAGTGCCCAGGGCAGAGCCACATGTGCTCCACGTTCCCCTTCCCGGGATCCCCATCACGCAGCCAGCCCCTTCCACGAGGACACGCTCAAGCCCTCTCGCCTCCCCAGGTTCACCTAAAACTGGCCATCGTGTTCAAAGGTTAGGCGATAAGAACTGTCCAAAAAGACAAGGCACAATTACATAAGGCTCATTTCCTTTGGAAAACCGGACAGGCGCGCAAATGGGACTGAACAGCTTCCATGGGGATTCAACAACCTTTTTCAATCTCCCTCTCTAGAAGAGACTTGCTCACCATGACCTGACCAGGAGGGTCTTCCAGCAGCAGTGGAATATCTTCCACAGTCACAAGCCTCTACATGTGAGGGGAGGGCACAGAGCAGCAGGAGAGGGGAGAGAAAAGGAGGCCACACAGCTGCTCCCTCCACTCTGAGCCCGGAGCTGCCCAGGGTACAAGGTACCAGCAGAGTGGAGACACCAGAGTGCCAATCTTGGAAGCGCCCAAAGGCCCCACAGGAAGACAACTGCAGGGCTGAGCAGTAGCGCGAGGCTAAGCTGCATCATGGAGCAGCCCCGAGCTCCGAAGGGCTCAATGCGGCTCGGCCGCGGGGCCGAGCTGCCTCCCGCCGTGCTGCCCGTCCCGGACTCCCTGCGGAAACGGAGCCATCCCGTGCTCCACGCCTGCACGATCAGCAGCGCCAGGGACACGCAGCTCTACTGAGACAGGCACGTTTGCAAGCAGGTCTTTTTCCAAAACAGCTATATTGGCTGGAGATCAAACCCTTCCTCATGCCTTACAATAAGCAGCTACCCAAGGTTATCTCATCATTTCCCCTCGAACCAAACACACTTTGATCTAAACATAGGTATGTGTGTATATGTATGCGGATATATGTACACATATGTACACACACATGTACACACACACATGTAAATGTACATGTGTTTATATATATGTCCAGAGATATAAAGAATTCAAATCACTTGGATGGCTCTGGAAAGAGCAATAAGAGAAAGATCAGAGTACAAGGCTTCATTTTATTGCAAATCCCATGGCTAAGCTTGTCACTTTGACAGACCCCAGTATCTAAGGCCCTGAGGTGGAACAGCCACACAAGCCCCATGTATCACTGTGTCTAAACAGTGACTACATTTTTACTTTTTTCCTCTTCTTCTTCTAAACAGTCTCATCCATCTTCATACTGCATGAGCAAGAAAAGAATATACCTTAACCACCTCCAAAGGTCCGGAGAGATTTGGAGCAATACCCCAAAACTAAAAGGCAAGTCTCCAGAAAATGACTGTACTGTATTTATCCGAAAAAAATGACAACATTTTCAACTATCTTGCTTTATCTGCTACCTAGACTAGATATAATTAAAGGGCATTTCACTGCCACAGTAAAATCACTTCTTGTGCAGCCATGCACGGAAGGAGTGCGGCAGCAGCACAACGCACCTACAGCATCACTAGCTGGACATGGAAACATTAGTTCCTCCCTTGCTCCTTTCTACCTACCAGAGCCCAACGAAAGCCACAGGTGAACAAACATACTCAGGGGTGGCAGAGTGGCCATCAGAGGGGACAGTGTCTCATTGGTGACCACCAGGTGGCAATCATGGGTCACAGAAACACACCCCTACCCCAAGGGGACTTCTAGGGACTGCTGGGTTCCTCAATGCAGGTGACCACCCCGCAGAGCAACCTGACAGTCCCCATGAAGACCAAGAGCATCCTGTGAATTGTACCAGGAAACACAGCACTGAACCTCCCAGAGAAAAGGAAAGAAAGGAAGGTGCATATCCAGTTGTGAAAGATCAGCTACAGGATGCAAACTCCCTGAAAATGTCCAAGGCATCCAGGAGAAATGACCGTTAAGCTACTAAGGGAGTTTTCCTTGTGGTACTTCCAGACTTTAGATGGTGCTGAGTTGTAGGCTCTGTAGTCCAGATATTTGCAAACCCAAAGTGGTGTGTGGCCAAAGGGATATCATTAAATCTGTGGGCAGAGCTAAGGGGAGCACAGTCCCAGCACACAGTGTCCCTGGAGCTACAAGTGACTCATATTCCCAATTCCTCTAATGTGTGCAGCAGGGGAAAGGAGCACCAGAGCCCAAGCAGCATGGCACTGACACGAGGGGCAGCACAGACAGGAAGGAAAACTTGCTCAGCTGCCAGACCGGGGTGTGTCTGTGATACTAATGTCCCCTTCTATGAAACCAGCCTGAACGACTTCACCAAGGTGGCTGTGCAAGAAGAAATATGCAGGAAGGTCTGGTGACAGTTATCCTGGCAACCCAACCATGGCTACAGGGTCCAATTCCTCACCAAGGCAAGAAAGTAGAGAAAAGCAAGTGTGCAGTGAACTGATCAGCTCCTCATCTTTCCTTCAGGTGGCCCACGACTAGCAACATGGCCAGCTGATAAACAAGTCCCAAAACAAACAAGATCTTTAAGGACCTGCAAGAAGTTTCATTGTGTTTCAGTGTTTAAACAAGCATGTATTTATAGCTAAAAACAATAGGTCACCAAGGTTTTATGCTCCCATCTCCACAAAGCTCTTACTGAAGGGCAGCTGAATCCCAGAGGAAACGACTACATATGAAGATAATCATTGAAGTTTTCTTTCCTGACAACACCCTTCACGTCTTGGAAACTAGTGAAGCAACCACATGGGAATATATAATGCCATCAGAAGCACAAGTTAGACAGCACTCATTAGCCAATGAAACAAGACAATAGCCAGTTCTCCTAATTCCCCCCAGTTGTACTGAGAAGAGGGGATGTTCACAACAAGCCAAGCGGTACAAACACCCTCCAGTCTTTCCTCTTTTGGAGTCAGAGGAAGACAAAATATCTCCGCCAGTAACAAACTTAGTCATAGGGAAGATCACAGCACAGCCAGCCCCTAGTTAAGTGGGCTCCAAGAGAGGCCACTTCAGTTCATGCACTGCAGTTTAGCTAGGAAATACTGAGTGACAGCTGCTCATGTGTTTCTCAAGAAGTACACATGGAACTTGCTATTACTGGGCACACAAAGCAGCCACAACTGATAACAAACACAAAACTCAAAATGGGGCTTCAGTTTAATTTACTTGTAGTTTTAGAGCCGACAGAACTGTGCCAGTACACATACTTTAAAAAAGATTTTATATAAAATTTAAGTTTTACCAGGTGTTTTGAGATGACTCAGTAAAAAACTCTATCGGACACTGTGCATCATCCATGCTACCCCACCAGAACAGCTTTGCAAGAAGAGAAAGGTGGCTTTACTCCCAGCTCCCATTATCTCTCCAAGTACAGCACATACTCCAGATTACATCCAAATCACATCCAGATCCTCACCACCTTTACGATTTCACCACAGCACTGCCATAGCTCAGAATTATCTACTCTGTATCACTAAACAACCCAAGACTACTCAGTTTTTCCCAAGATAACTGCATAAACTTACTCATGTCCATTATTTAGCGAGGGCTACTCTACAGGAAATAGTGAACTGCTCCAGCTGGGTACGTAGTGCACTGCAGCTTTTCCCAGAAGATCCCAAATACAGGGTCTTCCCCAAGGAAAGGCAAAAACTTGCTACCTGGATGCAACCCAGCACAGCCATTTGAGTAGTCCTGTCTTAAAACTTCTTCCTTCACGGAAGCGCCTCTGATATGAACTCTGGACAACATGGAAGGCCTTATATTCCCTCCTAAGCAGCACACTGTGCAGTGCCCTTCTGTTTTAGAGAGCAACAACTTGGTTTCTAGCAGTCTTCAAAGCAAATTTAAATATCACATTTTTGACTTCCTACTTCATTTCAGTAAGGGCTTAAAAAGACAAATGATTCTCACAGTGACACTCCTCTGACCAGACTGAAACACCTGCGTGCTTCATACTCTTCTTGCTCAAAGGGAGGAAAGGCCAAGAGGCTGCCCAGCTCCCTGGTGTGCCAAGCGTTCGTGTGTTCTCCCTCCGGACTAAAAGCTCATCTCAGCATAGACCCTATGCTCCTTTAGGCTGCCATGTGCACTGAAGCAAGCATCAAAAGAAGCTTTATGTAGCCATAAGATCTAACTATCAAGGAGTTATCCTTATCATCATCACTGCTACCTTACCAGCTACGAGTGATGTTAGACACCTTCTTGTCAACAGATTTCTGCTTCTACAGTATGTATCAGACCAAGTAAACCCAAGTAAAAGAAGTAAGACCAAGTAAAAGAAACCTGGCTAGAAATCTTATCTCTACTTCCAATAGCAGTCACATACCCCGTTGCAAAGTTGCTGTCTTCTTTCCAGTCTACTATGCGACAGATGAAGAGCGTATTTGAATAGTCCTCAGGTCTGGATGGAAAGTCTGAAGGGCAATCAGCCAAAGACACATAGGCCCTAGGCACTCTATGGTCCACAGGTGAGAACATGGCACACTTCTTGAAGAGTTCACTGTTCTTGTCTGCCAGAAGCTTGATGAAGCCTGTAGCTGCTCGGGAATGTTTCTTCTCCAAAATATAGACCACCTGGAAGAAGAAAGGTTTCTAGAGCTAACACCTTCAGAGAAACTTAATAGAGACACAAAGGGACTCAGCAGAATATCTGGAAAGTTCACAAAAAGTCTTTACCATGTTTTCTGTGCGTGCACACGCTATTTCTTAGTTGAGTACCTATTTACAATTTTTTTTTTTTTGCCATCTTGCTCAAGGCTACAGAAGAGCTAAGTGCCTTCCAAGTGCTAGCTCTCTACAGCAACTTTCTTGATTACAGAACAAAACCAGACAAGAAGCAGATGCTTCCAAACGCAGAGAATTAGCCACAATATACAAGCAACTCCTGTAAAATCTTTCATTTGTATCCTCAGCCTGTGATTTCAACATTCAGTGCAGAACAGGCCAGTTCAAAAACGGTGCTTTTGGCTGATCCAATGCTAACCACAGGAAAGGATGTGCTGTGCGGAATTTGGCAGTTCTCTTCTCTCTGTGCTTTCTGAAGTTAGGGGTTATTTTACCTTTGTAAAGGACGGTTTTGAAAAGAATAATAAATTACAATATCATTAAGTAATTGTTCCACAGAGGTGTTCATCCAGACTATATTTTTGTAGACTTTATAAATCACTGGATAACAGAAATATAGCTAATTTCCCAAACTTACATAGAAGAATCCTCCCAGAAGGCCTCAGGAGTGGCACCTCTGTGCAATTATGAGCACTGGAATTGCCACACGGCATGAAACCAAAGAGCACTCCAGTGCAGAACAGGGACCAGGACAAAACGCTGAAGAGGAAAGCGCGAGATGTGGGAAAAACTTGATCTGGTCTGACTCGGTGGTCTTTTTTTGATTCAATATTCAGAGACTGACTTAGAACTTGAACCAACAGCCCTAAATCTTTCCAAAGACTGCAAGAATTAATTCTAACAACTCTGGAAATCTTGATATTCTTATTAGCATTCAATCTTTCTCTGAATCTTCCTAAATAATTTTGCCCAGCAAAAAAATAAATTTAAACTCGGATAACTGATAAAAATAATAAGACACTTAAATTTTATCAGATCAAATAATAATTCTCCTTGCAACAGGGAACAAGATTCAAAGACCAACAGACAGAAGACAACAGGGAAGCCAAGGGTGGTCCCTTGGTTCAGCTTTTTGGAGCCTAATGCATGAATATCCTTCTGATATACATGCACACACATTCCTGTCATCCTAAATGGACTTACCTTAGCTGTCCTTTGAAGAAACTTATCTGGAAGGAGCTTGGAATCATTCACTTTGGGCACATCATCTTGCTTTGTTTTATGCACACCACCAATCCCAGCAGCCTTCACTGTGTCAAACAGGAAAAAACACAAGTTACTGTAGTACATTTCCATCACCAGTTTACATTAGTCCTTTGTAAACTGTAATACAAGGTGCATATCCTAGTCCTAACTGAAATAAGAAAGATCGCAAGTGTTAAGAAGAGCCAGACATTAAACAACATTTATCATTTCTCCAGACTACAATCAAGAGCAGATATACAGTCGCTTATTGCGCACATCTGCTGAAAAACAACAAAAAAATCAAAATAAACCCAAACTTTACAAGTACCCCTACACCAGCCATAATAAACAAAATGGTGGAAAACACATTATATTTATTAAATACTAAGAACTGCATGAATTTCCTGGCATTTCTTAGTTGGAGTCATTAATATTATATAAATAGTCCATAACATACATACATGCATTTAATATTTAATTTCCTTAAAAAATGTTATGCAAAGTTATAAAATGTATGTTTATCTTAGAAACTAAAACCGCATCTACTAAGTTGACCCTCCTCGGCTCCAGACCAAGATTATTAAAAAGCCGTAGGAAAGTAATCCCTGTGTATGACAAACAGCCGCGCTTCCCTGACATTCCTTCACCAGATACCAAGAATATTTAACCAACTGCCAAATTCTAGTTTGCAGTTTTCAAATATTCAAGTACCTCCATTAGCAAGCATCTGTTATAGGTAGCTGGCACACCAAAGGCTTTCCAGTATTTACCAACAGCCGAAGTGATCTTTGCCACGACGTGGGACTCTGGGACCAGGCCCTCACAGGCTAAATTGCTGTTGGGAGCCCATGGTTGTCAACTGGGAGTTATTTTTAAGGATGAAGACATCCATGAGTTCTTTGCTAGAGGGCTTGTGGAAGACACCTGTGCCTTTCTCCACTGCTATGGAAGTTGTGTCCACGTCAAGCACACAGGCTAAAATTGGGTCTCAAACATTCAAAAGAAATTTGCTGTCTGAAAAACCCTGCAAGTTCTAAGGGAAGGAGCTGTCACTGCTTCCCTTACAAGACGCGAGACAAAGCGACGCTGCGCTGACAAGCGCGATCCAGGAGGATGGTGGCACTCGCTCCAAAAACCCTCAAGGAGAAGAGCAGTGACACCCGGCCCCGGGCAACACCCATCTGCCCCGCTGGCAGAAGCTGCCAGTGATGTGACGGATGAAGGGGCAGGAGG